CTCCTCTCATTTAAGTTACATTCAGTGAATGTATTGAGCTCCTATAAGGTGATTTTTTTTTTTAAAGTTTATAAATTTTTTGGCCAGGTGTGGTGGCACACACCTGTAATCCTAGCACTTTGGGAGGTTGAGGTGGGCGGATCATTTGAGGTAAAGGGTTCAAGACCAGCCTGACCAACATAGTGAAACCTCATCTCTACTAAAAATACAAAAAGTTAGCCGAGTATGATGTTGCACGCCTGTAGTCTTAGCTACTCAGCTAAGCACTCCAGCTTGGGCAACAGAGCGAGATTTCATCTTAAAAAAATAAATAAATAAAAGGAGATCGATCCAAGATGGCCAACCACTAACAGCTCAGGATTGTAGCTCCCAGTGAAAGCTCAGAGAACGAGATGACGCCACATCTTTAGACAAATTTCCATCACTCACCGATTAGCCGATTCCCAGTGGAGGAGCCCCACAGGTCGCCAGCGCGACTCTTGTGGCTGCCGCAGCGGTTTTGCCGGCGTCTCGGCGCAGCAGCTCTTCATGTAGAGCCAACGGGACTGCTTCCCCTACTGACCGGAGTTTGGAGCTCTGGGAAGTCAGAGCCACTTGTTGTGGACTCAAGAGGGAAGCCGGACCAGAGGTTCCCAGGCAGAAGAGCACCATAAGTCTTATCGCTGCTATATAGGCTGCCACAGTGGGTTGCTCGGATCCCAGCACTGGGAATCAATCAGTCGGACTTCGACTCAGAAACCTAATTAGAAAGGCGGTTCATCTACAATGAAGGGAAAAAAACAGCCTAAGAAGGCCGAGTATACTCAAAATCAGAACCCATCAGCAACGGAACAAGCCCTGATGGAAAAGGACTCATCAGCAACCGAACAAGCCCTGATGGAAAAGGACTCATCAGCAACAGAACAAGTCCTGATGGAAAAGGACTCATCAGTAACGGAACAAGCCCTGATGGAAAAGGACTGTGTTCCATTATCTGAAGTAGGCTTTAAAAGGTGGATGATAAGAAACTTCTGGGAGTTAAAGGAACTTGTTCTAACCCAATGTAAAGAAACTAATAACTTGGAAAAAAAGTTAGATGAAATGTTGAAAAGAAAAGACAATATAGACAGGAATACAAATGAACTTATGGAGTTGAAAAATACAACACGAGAACTTAGTGAAATATGTACAAGCTTAAACAGCCGAATGGATCAAGCAGAAGAAAGGGTATCAGAGGTCAAAGACCAACTTAATGAAACAAAACGACAAGACAAGAATAGAGAAAAAATGATAAAAATGAATGAGCAAAGTCTCCAAGCAATATGGGACTATGTGAAAAGACCTAATATACGCTTGACTGGTGTACCTGAATGTGACAGAGAGAATGAATTCAAGCTGGAAAATACTCTCCAGGACATTATCCAGGAAAATTTTCCTAATTTAGCAAAGCAGGGCACTATTCAACCCCAGGCAATACAGAGAACACCACAAAGATATTCCTCAAGAAGACCAATCCCAAGGCACATAATCGTTAGATTCACCAAGATCGAAACGAAGGAGAAAATATTAAGGGCAGCCAGAGAGAAAGATCAAGTTACCTATAAAGGTAAGCCTATTAGGCTTACAGCAGATCTCTCAACAGAAACACTACAAGCTAGAAGAGAGTGGGGTCCAATATTCAATATACTTAATCAACAGAACTTTCAGCCCAGAATTTCAAATCCTGCCAATTTAAGCTTTACATTTGAAGGAAAAATAAAATATTTTAGGAACAAGCAAGTACTCAGATTTTATTACCACCAGGCCTGCTTTACAAGAACTTCTAAAAGAAGCATTATACACAGAAAGGAACAACCAATATGGCCCTTTCTAAAAATACACCAAAAAGTAAAGAGCATTAACATAAAGAAGAATTTTTATCAACGAAAGGACAAAATAGCCAGTTAATATCAAATGGCAGCAACCCTAAATTTAAATCAACCAAATCTCCCAATCAAAAGATACAGACAAAATCTAACGGTATATCCAAAGATATACATAGACTCAAAATAAAGGGTTGAAAAAAAAAAAACGTACCAACCAAATGGAGAGCAAAAATAAATAAATAAAAAGCAGGAGTTGCAATTTTCACATTTGACAAAATAGATTTCAAAGCTACAAGGATACAAGGGTAAAAGGATTAATGTAATAAGAGATCTTAACACCCAGATACATAAGACCCATAATGAGATTTAGATTCAACGAGACAGAAAATTGATAACGATATTCGGGACTGGAACTAAGATCCAGAACAAATAAACTCAATAGAGCTCTCCATTTTAAACACACAAAATATACATTATCCACAAAATCTAACGATATATCTAAAGATATACAAAGACTCAAAACAAGGGGATGGAAAAAAACTCACCAACCAAATGGAGAGCAAAAATAAATAAATAAAAAGCAGGAGTTGCAATTCTCACACTTAATAAAATAGATTTCAAAACTACAAGGATGCAAGGGTAAAAGGATTAATGTAACAATAAGAGATCTTAACACCCAGATACATAAGACACATAATGAGATTTAGATTCAACGAGACAACAAATTGATAACGATATCCAGGACTTGAACTCAGAGCCAGAACAAATAAAACAAGAGAGGTCTCCATTTTAAACACATAAAATATGCATTAACCACTTTAAACGCTCAAAATATTGATCGGCCATTATTGAAACCCATTTTAGGAATGAAGTAATATTCCTTTTTCCCTCTTTTTCTTTTTTTCCCCTTCTTTTTCTCTTTTTCCCTCTTAAAAAAAAAATTATTGAGACAGGGTCTCACTGTGTTGCCCAGACTGGTCTCGAACTCCTGGGCTCAAGAGATCCTCCCGCCTCAGCCTCCCAAAGTGCTAGGATTACAGGCATGAGCCACCTCGCCCAGCCCTGTGGATGTTTTAGATCAGATGACTCCCTGCTGTGGGAGGCTGCCCTGTGCACTGTGGAGTGTTTAGCAACATCCCTGGCCTCTAACCACTAAGATGCCAGTAGCACCCCCTCAGCCATGACGACAAAAATCGTCTCTAGACGTTAGGACCAACTACATAATTTGTGAGGCCCAGTGCACAAAGGAAAGTGTGGGACCCTTCGTTCATAAAGCAGAGGAAAAGTGCAAAAAAAAAAAAGTCCTAAATTTCTCCATTATGTACATCAGAAACTTGAGGCCCAGAGATTTAGTGATTTTCCCAAGTCCACATAGTTAGCTCCAGTACAAGGGATGTAGCAAACAACAGGTATTGTGACAGAGGTTGATTCTACCCCAGATGGCCAGAAGTTGCCTTCATCAATGACAATTAGTTTCCAAACTAAGATAAAAAATAAATATTAAGGTCTTGGCATACTAGAAGGAACATCAGACTAGCAGTCAAGATATTTGGATTTGAATTCCATCTTATTATTTCCTAATACATTGAATAGGGTTAGAAGTTTTACAACAGTATTACTCAGAGTCCTAGGGTTCTAAGGAAATGATGTCAGAGTCTTTGAGTGGAGTACTAGGAGGATGAGTTGGCTCCAAGCCATGTTTGCCCATGTTTTTGATTAAATCTGTTCCAGATTTAATCAAAGCTTTGCTCTGTTTTATATATTGATGTTCTGCATATAATTTTAATCCTAAAAAGAAGTTATGTTAAAAAAATAAAAATAATTTGGAAACCAATTAACTGAATGACCTTTAAAACCTTTTTCAATTCTGATCATCTGTAACTTAGAAAACTTTTCAGCATTATCAGCTAAGAGTCTGTTTCTTCCTTATTTGGGAAGTTAACATGGGGCTCAGTTCCCAGCAGACCAATTGATATGGTAGACTGTAGAGTTTTGTTGCTCAAAATATGATCCATGTATCAGCAGCATCAGCATCACCTGGAAGTTTATTAGAAATACAGAATCTCAGGTCCCATCTCTCCTAAGTTAGAATTCGAATTTTACCAAGGTTTCCAGGTAATTAATGAAAATTTAAGTTTGAGAGGCATTATCTACAAGATTTTGGAATCTTTCTTGATTGACTTGTATCATTGGTTCCTGTCACATTCTCCTCAACATGGTTTATAGCAGAAAGATTAGGATAGCTGACACTCATGCCCTGTCCTTCCTCTCTATGGCCCCAAGGGAAAAGGTAGAGTCAGAGTCAGTATTTACCATTTTTGCCCATGTTTTAACTAACAACTTAACAATCGCCATCTGCCAATGTATCCTTATAAATGCCCCTACAGTACCCATGACCATTTGGGATGGCAGGGATATTGAAAACCACTCTTCTCCAGTTAATCTGAGGCCCTTTTGATGAGATCATTTTTTTAATCCAGTCCAATTCTGAGACTCACTAATTTTATAATACAGACATTCATAACAAAAAACTTTCAGATCCTTTGCAAATTGCCCCAGGTTTGTCCATGTGTTATTAAAGCTGGGCTGAGTAATAAATGCTATAAATGTCTTAGGAGACAGCACTCATGCCCAGTGAGCATGACATCCCATAATAGACCTATTTGGCTTGTTACCCTGGCGCCTTTCTCCACCCTGATCTCTGGAAACCAGAGAAAGACAAACATTAGAATGTCAATCCAAAGCTGTAGACATGGGTATAAGATGCTTTGCTTGGAGAGTTCTCATAAGATCATATTTCTGGCCAGATTCCTATTACTTCAGAGTTGTAGTCAGAGGTGATTTTTTTCATTAGCATTTCTTTTCCCAGAAGGAAAACATTATCTCCCAAATAAAATTTAAGTGAACTAAATCACTTCCAACCTCAGCATCATTTCAGGCTTGGTGTCATTTGTAGATTCAAGACTGAGTTCCATTTAATCTGCTCAAGTTCCATTCCTAATAGGAAAAATGCCAAGAAACAAAGAAAAGATTCATACCATTTTCAGAGGCAATCACCTATGTTTTAGACTGATCATAAAGCAGTTCAATTTATCAATTTCTTACAGAGTCAGCTCTCCCTGGCAAAGGTGAATCTGACTGCATCGTTCTTTTTTATTTTAAAATGTGTTTATTTGTATTATATATTTTACATTGCACACTTCAGCAAAGAAAATAATTATGATTTCAAAACGCAATCCCTGGATTCAATAAATATCCTTTATAATCAATCACACTAATCAATATCTAGAACTATAAGTACACAAAGTTAGCTAATGAATTAAATAAGTAAAATGACTATGTAAACTATAAATTTCAGGGAGGAGGTATGATGCATGATCAGTTAAGTTATTCTGCCACTTTTTAAAATAATATGATTTACATTTGCTTCAATCACATAAACATTCATTGCAGGAGTTAGATGCCTGGTAATAACTGAAAAGTGTGATCTTTGTTAGCTTAAAGGAAAATTCAGTTTAACCCAAAGACATTCAAGATGGAAATTTCAGTACCCCTGATCAGAAGCTTTCAATGCATATTGCTCTACTTTGTTATAGGTAAGATTCAAGTAAGGCTAAGACAGAAGAGTGTTTCCATTGAAGACATGCTCTAAGAATCGCCTTCTATAGAGGCAAATTATGTTCTGTAGAAACTAGCTAGCTAGCCACCAAGATGTTACCGATAAAGGATTCCTTATACTAGCAACTAATCATGTTTAAAAGGTCTTAGCCAGTATTACAAAACGAAACATTTAGAGTAGTATTTATGAATACAAGCGTAATTGGTTCCTTGCCTTCTACAAATAACCATCTCTAAAATGATAAAAGCAGATTTCAACTCTGGTTCTTCTTTGGGGTGAAAAGGTGCAGATACACATGGGTGGTCTACTGATTTGCCTTCTAAAAATACTCTGGAAGCAGCTGGATTTGGCTTGATTGCAGGAGAATCCAGCATCCAGTTTGCTGGGCAGACTTCTCCATAGGCTTCTACATACTGGAGTGCCTTCACCAAGCAGAGGATTTCTTTCATGCTTCGGCCCACTGGGAGATTATTGACACTTAAGTGCTTGATGACTCCACTGGGGTCAATTACGAAGAGACCTCTTAGTGTGAGACCAGGACACTACCAGTACACCGTAGTCTCAGAAAATTTGCTTAGTTAAATCTGACAAGACTGTAATGTTCATGTGGCCCATACCACCATTCTTTCTTGGTGTATTTATCCAGGCAAGATGGCTAAAGTGGGAACTCACTGAGACTGCAACAACGTCTCAGTTCACATTGTGAAATTCCTTAGCTTTGTCACTAAAAGCAACAATTTCTGTAGGACACGCAAAGGTGAAATCCAAAGGATAGAAGAAAAGCACCAAATACTTCCTCCAAGTCATCAAGGCTTAGGTCTTTGAACTCTCCATTGACAACAGCTGTACCCTTAAAACAGGACGAATGCTGGGTGACAGCAGGTGCATGGTATGAGGAACTGGTGCTGAAGAATTTTGCTTGACGGGAACCAGAGCACAATATGTTTGTCAAGCTCATTCTTCCAGGTGCATCAGGCCTGAGGGCTGCAGTGGTGGAAATGCCCCAAGGAATGGCACTCACATGTTGGGCAACGGATGCTCAGGACAACCTTCTCACAGCAGCTGCCATCTTCAGTGTACACCCTGCCTGCATTCATTCTTCCACCAAACATTTATTGAGTGTCTACCATATGCCAGGTACTGAGCTGGCCACTAGAGAAACAAAGACAGTATTTTAAATCACGAAATTCATAGCTTGCCTGCAAAGACAGAAATATAAATCACTATTAAGTGATATCAATATCTTACTGATGGTTTGAACAAGAGAATATGGGAATACAGACTGGTAAGCAATGAGGATCCACATATGGGTAAGACTCTGTCCTTGCTTTTAAGGTTTTAATCTAGATGGGAAAGCAAGAGAAAAATGCACCCTAACACTGTTAGGCCATTTGTGGTAAGTGCCAAATGTATTATTAGCCAAAGCACAGCCAGACCTGAATGTTGATGGTGAATTAGTCATAGTACCTACATAGTGATTAAGAGCTGTCAGGTGGGCTGTGGGAATCAGGGACAGGGAGAGAAATGAATGGATTTTAGCAGACTAAAAAAAATGAGAACAATTCCTATTGCAGAAAGGAATAAGAAAGGGAATGTCTGAGAAGGAAAACTAGTATGAACAAAGGCACCCAGATAGGAAAGCACCCCATCTCCCCATCCTAGAGCAACAATGAAGTTTTCAGTCTGCTTGGAACAGAGGTTTCGTGTATAGTGTATGTTCAGTGATAAATTTGAAAGCCATACTGTATGAGCCTGTTGTCATGCTGCTAATAAAGACACACCAGAGACTGGGTATAAAACAGTTTTGCACAGCTGGGCAGGCCTCACAATCACAGCAGAAGACGAAGGAAGAGAAAACAGATTGCTTACATGGCAGCAGGCAAGAGAGCTATGCAGAGAACTCCCATTTATAAAACTATCAGATCTTGGCCAGGTGTGGTGGCTCATGCGTGTAATCCCAGCACTTTGGGAGGCCGAGGCAGGAGGATCACCTGAGATCAGGAGTTCGAAACCAGCCTGGCCAACATGAAGAAACCCCATCCCCCATCTCTACTAAAAATACAAAAGTAGCCAGGGGTGGTGATGTGTGCCTGTAATCCCAGCTACTTGGGAGGCTAAGGCAGGAGAATTGCTTGAACGTAGAAGGCAGAGTTTGCAGTGAGCCGAGATAGTGCCTTTGCACTCCAGCCTGGGCAACAAGAACAAAACTCCGTCTCAAAACAACAACAACAAAAAAAGCTAGTAGATCTCATGAGACTCATTCACTAATAGGAGAACAGTATGAGGGGAACCACCTCCATGATTCAATTATCTCCACCTACCTAGCTCCACCCTTGACACATGGGGATTATTGCAGTACAAGGTGAGATTTAGGTGGGGACACAGCCAAACCATATCACATAGTGAGGCCAAAGTATGGAGTCTTGAATAGCATATATAGAAATGTAGATTTTCTTTATTTTTTTTTGAGAGTTCCTTTTTTTTGTTCTCAATCTTTTTTACTGTGGTAAAATAGATACATAAGATTTATTTTATTGTGATAAAACAAATACATAAGATTTCCCATTTTTTAAATTTTTACTTTAAGTTCTGGAAAACATGTGCAAAATGTGCAGGTTTGTTACATAGGTACACATGTGCCATGGTGATTTGCCGCACCTGTCAACCCATCATCTAGGCCTTAAGCCCCTCATGCATTAGGTATTTGTCCTAATGCTCTCCCTCCCCTTGCCCCCCACCCCCCAACAGGCCCTGGTGTGTGATGTTCCCCTCCCTGTGTCCATGTGTTCTCATTGTTCAACTCCCACTTATAAGAAAGAACATGCAGTGTTTGGTTTTCTGTTCCTATGCTAGTTTGCTGAGAATAATGGCTTCCAGTTTCATCTACGTCCCTGCAAAGGACAAGAACTCATTCTTTTTTATGTCTGCATAGTATTCCATGGTGTGGTGTGTGTGTGTGTGTGTGTGCATGTGTGTGTATGTATATATATATGTACATGTGCCACATTTTCTTTATCCAGTCTATCATTGATGGGCATTTGGGTTGGTTCCAAGTCTTTGTATTGTAAATACTGCCGCAATAAACATATGTGCCCATGTGTCGTTATAGTAGAATGATTTCTAATCCTTTGGGTATATACTCAGTAATATGATTGCTGGGTCAAATGGTTTTTCTGGTTTTAGATCTGATTTTATTCTATAACCAATGAAGAGCTCACAGGTGAATGAAAGGAAATCAGTGAAAAATTAAATTTATGGTATTTTGTAGGAAAAATTAGAGTAGGAAGGTATTGGTGAAAGGGAGATAGTTGGAGGTATTTTATGAACAGAATGCTATGCCTATCTTTAACAATCATTAGTAAGCAGCCCTTATACTGGAGGAGAGCAGGTGCCCACAAAAGGGAACCCGGGGTAAATCCAGGGTAAATGCATTATTATTTCTGACAAGTGTTCCTTGTGTAAAATGTGCTTGAGAATCCTGGACTTGAACTTAAAGCCTCAGCTCTAGGTCACTTCCTTCATTTAAGTTGGTCAAACCCAATGAACCAGCACTGTAGTACGCACTAAGGAGGTATCTAGAATTTCAGAACAAAGGGAATATTAGAACAGTAGGGAGCTTAGAGAATGTTTTGCATAATGATTTCATTTTTTGGTTGTGGACAGAGCTCCCAAATGACAGTAGTCAGAACCTAGAGTTAAAATGCAGATATCTAAGTCCAAATTCAGTGTCCTTTCCACTACATCAAATTCATTGTTCAGTATCAGGCACTATGCCTCCCCTCAAAGAGTCTGCACAAGTAAACACTGTTTTTTATTCAAGGAAGGTATAAAAGCACATGCTCATCCCACTGTGAGGGAAATGAAATAATCTTTCTTAAAGACTGGTAGAAAAACAAGCTTCCCAGGCATCAAGATAATAAAGTTTCTTCCTGTAATCTCAGCACTTTGGGAGGCCAGCTGAGGCAGGAGACTCTCTTGAGGCTAGGAGTTCAAGACCAGCCTGGACAACATGGCAAAACTTTGTCTCCATAAAAAATTTAATTTAAATATTAGCCAGTCATGGTGGCATATACCTATAGTCCCAGTTAGTCTAGAGGCAGGAGTGGGAGGATTGCTAGAGTCCAGGGATTCAGCTTATAGTGAGCTATGATTGTCCCACTGCACTACAGCCTGAGCAACAGAGCAAGATCCTGTCTCAAAACAATAACAATGAAAGCAAACAAACAAACAAAAAGCAGAATAACATTTTCTCACAGGCTTATTCGCCACAAAATGAAAAGGTACATTTTTTTCTTGAGTTTCAGCTTCTGAAGCAGTTTGTCCTGGTAGATAAAGAGAAGACTGATCTCTTTCCTGTGAAATAAAACTTTCACTTGATTTGCCTAATGCTGCCTTTTTCCTAAATGGTAGCCTGCTGGAAAGCAGGACCAAAGGATTTGTGATTTGAGGGTCACAATATTAAGGGTTGAATTATGTTAAATAGATCCAAAAATCAACACATTTCAAAGCCCTCAACATATTCATAGACATTCAAATGATTAATCATTTTCTTATCTGTTAAATCCTTTCCGATAAACTAAATACATTGATATTTGGCATGCAGATGGCAGCAGAGCGGAATTGTAATTGCTCATTAAGCATCTCAACCATAGGTCTTAACTCTTTCTTTTGGTCCAGCTATTACAATGTACATGGACATTAGAACAGAGAGGTGGAGAGGTCTTACTCAAAAAGGTTTTTATTTTTCCAAAGCTCATTGAAATCGAGATTATAAAATATATTAGTTTCGGCCAGGCACGGTGGCTCACACCTGTAATCCCAGCACTTTGGTAAGCCGAGGCGGGTAGATCACGAGCTCATGAGATCGAGACTATCCTGGCCAACATGGTGAAACCTCGTCTTTACCAAAAATACAAAAATTAGCTGGGTGTGGTGGCGCACACCTGTAGTCCCAGCTACTGAGGAGGCTGAGGCAGGAGAATTGCTTGAACCCGGGAGGTGGAGGTTGCAATGAGTCGAGATCATGCCACTGCACTCCAGCCTGGTGCCTGGCGACAGAGCAAAACTCTGTCTCAAAAAAAACAAATATATATATTATATATTTGTTTTATAAATATGTTGAACAAAAGTCAAAAATTATGGAATATTACAGTTTATTGGGATGTTACAGGATGTCAAGTCTAACCCTTCACAGACTGCTTAAATCCCCGCTGTGGTACCTCATGAAATTGCTATTCTAGCTTCTACTTGAATATCATGAATGAGAAGAAAAATCTAATACCTAACAATTTTTCCAAGGTTACTTACTCATTTTTATACATTATTACCTAATGAAAGCCAAAATCTGCTGTCTTGTAGCTTTGCGGTTTTGAGAAAACAAAGATCAAATCTCTTTCCTCTTCCACATAACAATTCAATCAGATTCCAAGATATTTATGGAATCTGAACCAGGCACTGTGCTGTGTCCTGGATGTTGAATGAATGAATGACACATGGTCCCTGTTTTACAGATACTTACATTGTAAGGGTTAGACAGATGTGGATTAGTATACTTGGAGTGTTCAGATGCGTAGACAGGGATACTTAATCAAAATTTGGAGAGGTAGGGGAAGTCTTAGCTAAATTTTTAAAGAATAATAGGAGTCAGCCAAATAACTAATTCCCTAGGAGAAAAATTAAAGCAATGGTATACAAATAAAAAATAATATGCTTTAATATACTTGAGTTCCTACAAGTAGAAAGACATGAAGAGGGAGTGGTAGGAAACAGGGCTAGAGACATAGACAAGAGTCAGATCAAGAAACTTGTACACTGCACCTAAAACCTCGAAAGTGGTTTTAAAAGAAAAATAATACAACAGATTTACCTTTTGTTAGATCATCTTGGTAACAGGAGAAACAAGGGTAGAAGAGACCAGACTATTTAAGAAGTTATTACAGTAAGCCAAGTAAAAAATGATAAAAAGCTGAATCCAATCTGTAGTAACGTAGATGCATTAAAGAGATATTTATGAAGTAAAACTGACAGGTCTGGACAACTAATTAGATGTGGAGGGTAGAGGAGGGTGACAGCTCAAAGATGACTCTTCAGCTTCTAACTTGAATAATTGGACTGCTGGTACTGCTAATTGTGGGTACTTCAAGTTGGAGATGCTAGTGTAAGTTGAGGTTGGATTTCTTTTTTGATAAAGTTTGATGTAACTTTAAAATACCATTTAAGATGAATGGTTTGTAATTGAATACAAGTCTGCCGCTCAGAGGAAGATTGGTCTTGGAAAAATAAACTCAGCATCTAAAGTGAATAATTACTAGCTCAAGAGTATGTGAGATCACCCAGGTACAGAAAACAACCTAAGAGAGAAGTATAAAAAAAGAGGGCCGGGCGCGGTGGCTCACGCCCATAATCCCAGCACTTGGGAGGCCAAGGCGGGTGGATTACGAGGTCAAGAGATCAAGACCATCGTGGTCAACATGGTGAAACCCCGTTTCTACGAAAAATACAAAAATTAGCTGGGCATGGCGGTGTGCGCCTGTAGTCCCAGCTACTCGGGAGGCTGAGGCAGGAGAATTGCTTGGACCTGGGAGGCGGAGGTTGCGGTGAGCCGAGATCATGCCATTGCACTCCAGCCTGGGTAACAAGAGCGAAACTCCGTCTCAAAAAAAAAAAAAAAAAAAAGAGAGAGAACCCTGGGGAACAACATTTAAGGGAATTTCCAATAGCTGGAGATAGCCATTGTGTTCTTTCTTTGGATTT